TTTATCATTACTGTTTCATTAGAAACACCGACGCAGCTCACACTAGTTTCTAGCTAGTTATATCTTCCTATTGATACTCTGATGATTAAGTCATGGATTTAATGCATCCTTTATTTTAGACCACTTCTTTAGATGTATTGGAATTTTATCCCTTTGTTTGGCCAATCTATATTCAATTCTTTCATTTTGGTTTAACACATTTTTGAAAAGAACAATTGCAGGCCACACTTGATTATTATTTTTTCAGAGGAGATAACTAGCTAAAACCTAGTGTGAGCTGYGTCGGTGTTTCTAATGAAATAGTAATGATAAAAAGCAGGGGCGGATCCAGGGGAGGGGTGCAGRGGGTGCGCACCCCTCCCTGGTTACACTTTCTGCTCCTACTTCGAAGATAACCAATACAGTTTTTGCCTTTGATTCTAAGGGGTGCACCCCTCCCTGGGTTAACATTGTGCTCAGCACCTCTCCCTGAACAAAACCCTGGATATGCCCCTGAAAAGGTAAATTATACACCATGAAAAGATGAAAAAACTGACGTTTTGGACGCTAATCCTTTGTCGGAGTAAAAGAGGAATTATTGAATCAAGGGAGAGACCCCACATCTATGTGGTACCCAAGACCCRTAGGTAATTACTAAATGTATTGTACTTTGCATTTCAGGTGACGAGGGAGTTGTACTATGTGAAAGGAGCACCAGAGCACATCGTACGTCAATGCACGTCATATTACAGGAAGGGAACRAYAACACCTTTAACTACCCAGGATGTTGAGAGAATACGAGATGCTGTGGTAGCCATGTCGTCAACAGGACTTAGAAGTAAGTGTTACATGTTACAGCGCTTCTTTGCTCTCTCGCTCAGACGAAATTGTCAAATTTGTTGTCACTACAAAATAAGGTTTTGGTAGACACTCACTTGAAGTGTTTCCATGACAATGTCAGGAAACACAAAGTTTTCAAAGGCACACGTGTGCATATGGAATGTTGTGGAAATGCCTTGATTGACGACATCCACAAAAATCAACTTTGTCTTAACAGCAAATTGTATAATTTTGCATGTGTGATTGGTAAGCAAAATAAGACCCGATATAGCTTCTATAGACCTCCTTGGCTCGGACATAATGTTTTCCCATTTCAGACCATGTGTCATTCCTTTGAGAATAAGATTCTTTGTTTGAGCTGTATCCATATTCATGTGTCTTCTCATGTGCAACCAAGCGCAAGCATTAAACAAATGAATGATACTCTAGGGAATGACACTTGGTCTGAAATGGGAAAACATTACGCCCGAGCCGAGGAGGTCTATGCATGGTTCCAACTCAGACAATAGTAAACCAATCACTGCTACAGCATTTTCCCCAGTGGAATTAAGATCTTGTCCCACAAACAACTACACAGTATCTATTTTAAAGAGTACCACAAGGATTACGAGGCAATTTCCTATTCRCAGGACAGTGAACTATTGAAACAAGTTATGATCAATTTTCTGAGATCACAGTTTTCAATTCTGAGATATTCTAGAAATTTGTTGAGCTTGTAGGGCATAGCAACGGTAACTWAGGGGCGTYGGAACCAGAAATTAAGACCAGAATACCCTTCTGTCTTACCTTTGATGATTCAACCTCTTCAACTTGACATGGTTTCATTTCAATTTGGTGTATGATGATTTTTAGTTGTAGCACTTGCGTCTGGTGAGGATCTGCAGCAGCTGATATATCTCGGCGTAGTAGGTCTGTTTGACCCCCCYAGACCTGGTGTGAGAGAGGCCGTGCATACACTGCAGGACAGTGGTGTGTTGGTGAAGATGATYACTGGWGACTCRAGGGAAACAGCTATATCTATAGGTATGACATCTCCATTACATGTACTCTAAGGTTGGACAAARGGGGKCYRAAGGGGKAACRAAGGATAGATAAAGAATGGATGAAGGGTGGAGGAAGAATGGATGAAGGCGAGAAAAGGATGGTCGAAGCGAGATGAAAGGTGGTTGGAGAGGGAATGAAGGGTGAATGAAGGGCAGATGAAGAATGGATGAAGGGGGGTGAAGGATGGATGAAGGGGATGAAGAATGAGTGGAGGGGGTGAAGGATGGATGAAGGGTGGATGAAGTATGGATGAAGGGTGATGAGGGATAGATGAAGAATGGATGAAGGGTGGATGAAATAAGGATGGAGGGGGCTGAAGTATGGATGAAGGGGGATGAAGAATGAATGGAGGGGTGAAGAATGGATGAAGGGGGACAAAGGGTGGATGAAGGGGGACCTGTATAGATAAATTAACCGGTTTTTCAAACCACTCATAAACGAGCACATGACAGAGAACTCAAAATTGACTTTACTCACATGTGACATCAAGTTTGTAAATCAAATGCGTGTTGCATGGGTAAGAGAAGAGCCTTCTCTCTTCTAACTCCCATGCATTCCATTGTCTCAGATTATGAAATACTAATCTTCCCATAAGCTCCATTAAATTACTGACTACGACTACTTTGTTGCAAACGTACTACAAACTTTGTTCCTCTTCATTCAACTACGTTTCTCATTTTCATAAATTACTATTCTGTTGAATGTAAAATTTCTGCACGCCCGTGCGTTTCATAACAACAGTAGCTCTATCTTTCTGAACCTTACTACATCATGTGAGACTACATGAAATGGCACTATTTCATAATAAAGTTTAAGGTTAGGTTTTCTTGGATTTGGGTTAGGATTAGGGTTTGGATTAGGGTTTCAGGACATCATAATCAATACCTGAATAAATAAATAATAATCCAATAGTGTCATTTCATGTAATCTTATATGAAGTACTAACCTTTCTGATAGTCTTGACATGCTCATTCTGACGCCCAGGCATCAAACCTATGATGACTTTAGTGAGAGGGCAACAACGATGCTTCTCCTGTCCGACATGTTAGAATTTTGCTGACCACAGTATTTTTTTTTCTGCAGCTGAGATTCTAGGTATTCATTCTAGTGGACGACCAACACTCTCTGGGGAAGAGCTAGAGGTCTTAGACCCTTTTCAACTATCCTCAGTCATCGATCAGGTTCGTATATGTTTGACAATCAATTGAATCCAGAAACCTGGAATTTATTCTCTTCTGTTGTCTTCTCTTCTGTTGTCTTCTCTTCTCTTCTGTTCTCTTCTCTTCTGTTCTCTTCT